TATTTACAATCCTCTATAATAATAATGTCATTTCAAAGGACAATATTAAGTGCTACAATAATAGCACTCTTGTAAGACTTTCTTAGCTCAACTGAAAAATAAATGAACATTATAGAAAGTATGAATTATAAAGATACCATAATTAAGGGATTTTTTTTCTGGAAACAAAAACAAAACTTTCAGATGTCACCGATGCTATAAAATTACAGAAATATTTAATCCTGATGAGAGAAATGACAGAAAGTCTTGAAACCATCTGTCTAACCACATTAGCAATATTGGCTTCACTTTCATGATTGTAACTTCACATCAATTTGGTGCAAAACAGTTCCCACAGGAGCTTTCCCTTTGGGTCTTCACATATCTTTTATTTCCTAGCAGTGAATCCTGAATAGCTTCTTTGATTTGAAGATTCATGGGAGGGACAGGTTGTGTCCACATCAAGTTGTTCTTTTACGTTTTCCAAAGTAAGAGGAAGCAGTTGGAAGGACAAATTACATATCCCCTCAAAATGTGAAATCTGGTAGAAGTAAGAATTAACATTTAATGTTTTTCATATAAAGAGGTAAAAATCTTTGGTATTTGGATTAATATTATGTAAAATTTTGAACTCTGAAAGTGGTTATTTTCAAGAGAAAGATAATTTGGGAAAATTGGCCTGGCAATCCAAGAGCCATTTAATTTGACATGACTATTTTAAATTTGTATTTTAAAACTATAACTAAATAGGGTAAAAGTACATGAGATTTGGAACATACAATTTTTTCAGCTCTGCTTTTTTAAAATTGATTTCCTTTTGGAGAAGAGAAGGATTATAATAAATCTTGTGGCTGTATTATTTCCATCAGCTGTAGCAAGAAGAACATTTGTTTTGCTGCTTTTTGCATTTTATACATTTTTTATTGTAAAAATATTATACAGAGGGGTTACAGTTACATGAGCAAGGTAAGGTGTACATTTCTTATCAAGCATTATTACCTCCTCCTTTGTTTTTTCCCTTCCATCTCTTCCCTACCACCTCCACAACTACAATCTCCCCCACCCCCTGTCTAAATTGTAAAGTTCATTTTTCAACATAGTGGTTTGTGCATCTCATTGTTACAAGGGGTCAACCTGTATCCCTATTTATGCATTTAGTTTTTTCCCTTCCCCTCCCCAAATTAGAGAAGTGTATATACAACATGCAGGGCACCGACATCAAATACAGTGAAAACAGGGGTTATATCGTAGGGGAGGAACATAAAAAGAAAAAAATCACATAGTACATTATAAATATATTAGAAGCAATAGCAAGAAAGAAAAAACCACTCGTGTCCCTAACTTGGGGTTCATTTCGCTTAACATCATCTTATCTGGTCATATGTACATAGCTTTTAAACTTGTCTGCTTGTCCCAGACATATACTAATTATTGCAAATAAGGGAAACCATGGGACCTATGTTTCTTTGGGCTTGGCTTACTTCACTTAATATAATTTTTTCCAAGTCTTTCCATTTCCTAACAAATGGGGTGATGTCATTCTTTCTGGTGGAGGCATAGAATTCCATTGTGTATATATACCACATTTTCTTGATCCATTCATCTACTGAGGGGCATCTGGGTTGGTTCCATATATTAGCTATGGTAAATAATGCTACAATAAATATAGTTGTGCTGGTAGCTTTAGTATGGTCTTGTTTGTAAACATTTGGGTAAATGACCAAAAGTGGGATTGCTGGGTCATAGGGGAGCTCTATGTGGAGTCTGTTGAGGAACCTCCATACTACTTTCCAAAGTGGTTGAACAAGTTTACACTCCCACCAGCAATGCAGTAGGGTTCCCTTCTGTCTACATCCCCTCCAGCATCTGTTGTTGTTAGAGTTCTTGATTATAGCCATTCTAACGGGTGAGGTGGAATCTCAACGTTGTTTTGATTTACATTTATTTTTATTTTGTTTATATGCAGATCTTCTTCTGAGTACTTGTGCAATCTTAGGCTGTACTGTACTTGCTGGAAGGCAAGATCAATAATTAAATGACATATGAATTTCATGACCAATGAATTGTCATGAAAATAAAGTGATAAATGAGAAGTAATTTATATTATGCCAGAAAGAATAAAATATTCCTTGAGTCTTATGTGTTCTAAAAATTTTGGTATCATTAGTCCTATGTCCACATCCATGGTATTGTGCATTGATGCTTTTCTTTCTTTCTTTCTTTCTTTCTTTCTTTTTGTCCCTTGTATGACAGAAGTTGAGATACCCTTGGGAAGAATTTGTCACTGAGATCTGAAGAAATTTAAATAGTAGAGTTTAAACCAAAGGTATGTATTCAAAAGGAGAAACTTCTTTGCCGCTAAAATCTTGTATACTTATATGCAGATAGGATGTATATGTGTAGAAAGATAAAGACAGGGTGAGGGATGAAATCGAGAGTAGGAGAGACACAGTGAGAGGCAGAGAGAGAGAGAGAGAGAGAGAGAGAGAGAGAGAGAGAGAGAGAGAGAGAGAGAGAGACAGATAGACTGTCAGACAGACAGACAGACTGTCAGATTCAAGATATCAAGAAGCGATGGAATTTGAAGAGAAAGAGGTTTGTCAACTTGGCATTTTCAGAAAATCCTTAGTAGAGACTCCAGGAACTACTGCAAAGCATCTAAGTCTACAGAGTTAGGTGTTTTCCTGGATGATATTCAAACCCTGTAAATAATACAGAACTGGATCTATGTTTTAATACAGAGGAACACTCTGATATCAGGGGTGTAATTTGGACCTAGTTTTTCCATTTTCAGAAGTTGAATCTTCTAACTTTCCCCCAGTTCTATTCTGCGAGTTTAATGTTAAGTTTACCCCTAGGTTCCTTTTTTCCCTATTCACCTTACAGATTTCTCCACAAAACTTCAAACCAGAGCAACCTTCTCCTCATAGCCGCGTTCCCCTCTGTGAACTTAGCGCGTGTAAAATATGAGTTCCTCAGTCTGCCTCTTGTGGCAGACCACAAAATCCATCTCAGCAGAAATCTTAGTCAATACGCTGGTGTATATATTTACAATGGTTTTTCTTCTTCAAAACGTTTTCAAGGCTGCTCTCTTGATTGAACAAGCCCTTTTCCACATGCATATTTTTTACATGAACTTATTTTGTTTGGGAGATTAAATAAGATGGGTAGATGAGCAGTAGTGTTCTATGTACCAGTTGAAGAAACTGCTTAGAGAGAATGCAGAGTTCAAGTAAAAAACAAAGAGACTCACAGTGCAGCTAGGTTGGCGCAATTTATGTTTCTTAGGCAGCTCTATACTTAGTATACTACATTGCTTCCTCATAGATGCCAATGAAAGGACACAAGTTCACTTAGAATAATAGGCTTTGTGTGTATATATATATATATATATATATATATTATTGTAACAATACTGTACAAAGTGGTTACAGTGACATGAGTAAGGCAATGAATACATTTCCTATCAAGCATTGTTACCCCCTCCTTTGTTTTCCCCTACTATCCCTTCCTTCCCCACCTCCCCAACCCACAAAGCTGTAAGGTTTGTTTTCAACATAGTGTCTTGTACATCTCATTGAAAATAAAGCATATGTTTACAGCAAAGACTACTTGGACAGTGGTTAAGAGTGATCATCCTCACAATGCTCTACTCCCAGATACACAGCATCGGAATAGCTTCCATGTCTTCAATCTGGTCATTGTGTAGGTCCTTTGTCATGTTTCCAATATGCCAGGAATGCTTTCTTTCTTTTTTATTAATAAGTTTTTTATTATGAAAATACCATACAGAGGGGTTATAATTACATGAGCAAGGTAATGAGTACATTTCTTATCAAGCGTTGTTGCCTCCAGGAATTATTTCAAAATGTGCCTTTTGGAGTTTTAGGAATAAAGTGAAGGTGTTATATAAGAAAACATAATGTTCTTCTATTAAGATGCTTGGCATGGACATCCCAAAGTATTTATTTCTAGTCTCTTCAAGGCCTAAATGTGACCAAATGGGCCCTGAGGAAACACTAAATAAAAAACCCAACAACTCCAGGCTGTTTCACTGCTGTTCTTAAGGAGATTGAGTGTCTTTTTGTAAAATACATATTAATTACACTAGATACATGAAATGTTAGTTGTGATATTGAAATTTTATAGATTGTTTATATGTAAAGTTGAAGAGAAGAAGGTATGACTTGAAGTATGGCTCAAAGGCTAAAGCACTTGAGAAGGAAATTGAAATCATGAGTTCAACATCAGCGCTATATATATATATATATATATATATATATATATATATATATATGCACACATAAATATTCAGAGATAGATAGATATTTAGACAGTTATGTGTATACATGTGTGAATGTCTGTACATTCTAAATTGCAAAGTGTTCACAATGTACTATCATCTTTCTTTGTTTACAGCTGTAGAAAAACACTTAAAAATCCACTTGACCTGAACAAGACAGCACACCTGTTGAGAACATGGAGCCAGACATCAGATTCGGGTTCTTAGGTCTACTATATAATGTCTTCAAATTTTGATGCAGTAAATTTACTCTTAACTTGTTGTTTCTTCACATGTAAGATGAATATAAGAATATTACCCAGTAGGATTTTTTCTGCATTTAAATATATGAAAATATATGAAATGTTTTCAGTCATACAATATTCTTTGATCAAATGCCATTAGAAATATTGATACTTTGAATATAAAAATCTTTTATAGTCATCAATTGTATGCATCTGCTTTTTTCCCAAATTTTTTTTTTGCTGTTCCTGGGGCACAGGGATTCTGTCACTGAGTCTCTCGGTGCTCAAGGCTAGAGCTCTACCACTTGACCCACAGCACCATTTCCGTCTTTTTCTGCTTATGTGATACTGAGGAAGCAAACCCAGGGCTTCATGCACGCTAGACAAGCACTCTACCACTAAGCCACATTCCCAGCCCTCCCCTCAATTTTTTATGAATATGTAATTTCAGAAGAACTAAGTTTCTGCTGCATATTATAGACTCACTTTGATTCATGGAAAAACAGAACGTCACCGAATTTGTTTTCACGGGACATTTTGGAAGTAAGCAAGCAGAGCTAGTCTTCTTTTTTTTGTTCCTGCTTTGTTACCTGGCAGTTATAATGGGGAACCTTATCATCCTACTCACCATCCTCTGCAGCCATCTCATAGAACAACCAATGTATTACTTTCTTTGCCACCTTTCCCTCATGGACCTCTGCTACACATCCACTGTCGTTCCCCGGCTTATCAAGGATTTGGCTGCAACAAGAAGAAGTATTTCTTACAACAGCTGCATGGCTCAACTCTTTATTGTCCACTGGCTGGCAGCTGTGGAAATGTTCATTTTGGTGTCTATGGCTTTTGACCGATATGTTGCTATTGTCAAACCACTCCACTACATGGTCATCGTGAACCGGAAGCGGTGTAACCTGCTGATAGCCATGGGTTGGGGACTTGGCTTCTGCCATTCTATTGCCTTGCTGCTGATGGTGCTCAATTTACCTTTCTGTGGTCCTAATCAGATAAATCACTATGTGTGTGATATCAAGCCTCTTTTGAAACTGGTTTGCAAAGATATCCATCTGGTTAGCATTTTAGTGATTGCTAATTCGGGGACAGTAGTCATTGTAATTTTCGTTGTGCTGTTTGCATCATATATAGTCATCTTATATAACCTCAGGATGAGATCCTCCGCAGGAAGACGCAAAGCTCTCTCCACCTGTAGCTCTCACATAATGGTTGTGGTTCTATTTTTTGTGCCCTGTATTTTTACCTATAGCTTCCCTGCAGGTGGTAAAAATAAGGATAAAGAAATCTCTGTGTTGTATACCGTGATTGCCCCCATGCTAAATCCTCTCATTTATACTCTGAGAAATAAGGAGATGAAAATTGCTATGGGGAAGGTCTGGGGGCGAATGTCACATTCACGATTAAGGTAAGTAAGGGGTGATTTATTTATAACCCTTTCAGTCCCATGTCCCCGTGATAGGTATCATTTGTGTTGTTACAAATATAGTGCCTAGAAGGTTTTGTGGGACTTGGGCTAAATGGACTTTCTTGTTATTTATATGAGGTAATAAATCATATTTGAATTCACATCGGAATCTCTGTGAGATGCTTCAAATAGTCCAGATGTGACCAAGTGGATTTGAATCTTTATAATTTCCTGTATATTTTCCTCTGCACATCCTTCTTCTTGGTGTAATAGCTCGGTGGTGGGAACCATGGGTAGTAATTTGCAAGCGTTGATTTTAATCTCTAGCACCAAAATAGATTGTAAATCAGGCACATTTTCAGATGGCTCAGTCCTCTCCACAAAATTTTTAAATTAAACTCTTCTCATTCAAATACAATCTAGTCTTCTCATATGTCATACCCAAAATTGGTCCACATCTAATGTGCTTATTTTATAACTCAGTACAGTGGAAGAAATAATAGTGATAAAGATAAGAATTGGGATCATGGTGATATTGACATCATACTGACACAGTTCAACAGGAATCAAATAGGTCACTACATACAAATAAGAATTGAAAAATATCTCTTTTTCTCGTCTCTTCTCTGTGCTTGTGGACCTCTGTTTTCTTGCCTTCTTCTTCGCTCCCCTCTCCTCCTCTTCTTCTCTTCCTCTCCTTTCCTCTCCTCTTCTCTTTCCACATACCTCCATCTTGTGCTTGGAAGCATTTTGCTCTTCCCCTAATAAAATTTTTTTTGTAAAAAAAACAATGAATTGAAAAATGGAATTATGTCAGGTTACAAAAAGCTTCTGTACAGGTATTTTCACAATAAAAAAGGAAAAAAAATAAAGAAAATAATTTTCAGATTGAGGAGATAGCATAGGGAATGTGAGAACATAGTTATACATCATCTGACAAGGGATTAATATTTGCAATATATACACTGCAAAATATTAAACAAAAGAAAAATTATATTGGAAATTAATTGGACAGTTTCCAAAGGAAGAACTAATATTCACTAAACACCCAAAGAAATGTTCCATAATTTTAGCTATAAAAGAAATGTAAATCAAAACAGCATTGAGATTCCACCCCTCCTGCCATGGTCATAATGGCAATTATCAAGAAAAGAAAGAACAAAAAATAAAAAAATAAAGAAATCTCATACTATGTTGACAGAAATGTAATTAGTGCAGAAATATAATTAGAAATGAGCATGACATTTCATCTAAATACTAAAAACAGAACTAAAAAACAGAACCTTGATATGTAGGATTCCTGAGGTTATAGCAAAAGTGATTTAAATTTGCAGACAATTGACCTACATGCAAACAATGATTAATTTCCCAAGACCTTAGTAACCTGCAGATGAGTTGTCCTAAACAGAGAAATGAACAGAAAAAATGTGGTACGTATAGACAATTGAGGGCTATTCAGGCATTAGTAAAAGAAAATATGTCACTTGCAGAAATGTGGATGAAACTGAGATTACTTAATCACAATACGCCAGCTAGGAAAGAAAAATATGTATTAACTTAAATAAAGTAGATTCAAGTCAAACAGTACAATCCCTTAAAAAGTCAAAATCAAAGCTCAAGAATATAAACACCAAGAAATAGGTAATACTTGAAATGCATGGGAGAAGGGAAAGAGGTAGACAAACAAAGGAAAGAAGTGGGGAGAAATCAGCCAAGAATTCAATGTATAGCCTCCAAAATTGAAAGTGAGAAAAGAGACAGGTGGAAAAGAATGGGGGAGTATGGTAAAGATGCATTATAGTCACAAACTTCTTTGTTGAATGGCAACTCCATTGTACAACTACTTAGCAATAATAATAAAAAAGAAAATTATTGTATGTTTTCTCATATAAATGATCAAAATAAGTCAAATGCAAAAAGACAAATACCACGTATTTTCTTTCCCTCATGTGGAGATACTAAATACGTAAATACAAGCAAACAACAAACAAATATGAAGATAAAAACTTCACTTGGGAAATATTTTGTGTTGGGAGGACCTGGGGAATAAGGGAAGGCAGGCAAGCAAGAAGATGGGGGGATAGGATACAAATACATTTCATGAATGTGTTTTGTACAATATAAAAAATAGAACAAGGAAATCCTGTAGAGTAGCCTTCCCTAGACCTTTGAGAATGGGCTATTATGAAGTCAGGACTATGATTTATATATTCGGTTCAGTTTAGGTTCAATTGATATGTTTTTTTTCCTTCTCTTACTCAAGGAGGAGGCTGGGACCAAACAAAGCCACACATAAACAGAAAAATTAATACAAAACTTATTTAGATATAGTGATATTTTCCAATCACTAGCCATTCATCTAATGCTAGTTAATATGTATGAACACAAAATAGTGTTCATAGCTTCTAAATTTCCAATGCTTATACTTTAATATTGAAGAATATTTGCAATCCTGTATGAAAATGGTATTAATTTGGATGATATTGTTGAATATAATAGTGATTCTCATTCTTTCTGGGCAAAATATTGCTATTAAATGATGCATGATTCAAGATTTATTAAATATTTATTTTATGAGCATCAGTGAATTCAATCTTTAAGGAGATTTTTTTCTGGGAAAGAGAAAATAATTTCTAATTTCTAATATTTCACCAATGCTATAACATTATAGACATTGTTTTTTTTGAAGTTATATCCCAAAGAGATAAATGATAGAAAGCTTCACAATCTTCTGTAATGTTATTTTATTGTTATTGAATCCACCTTTATAATTACTATTCCACATGCATTTGACTCATAACAATGCTCATAAGAATTGTCCTCTGGGGTCCCCTTAGTTTTTAATTCAGAGTATTATCAGCAATGTATCACTAGAAGCTGCTTTTAGTCTCAAGATTGATGGGAAAGACAGGATTTTTTCACATCTCCTTCATGTTTTCAACTCAGAAGAGTAAAAAGGTTGAGCATGAAGGACCATCCTAACATTCCAAAAATCTGAAATCCGAATTACTAGTATTAGCATAGATTATTTTCCTTACATTGGGGTAAAATGTTTGAAGTTTGGAACAACCTATACTATGGTAGGTGTTATATTCTTCTGATATGTATATATATATATATATATATATATATATATATATATATAATGTTTTTGTTGGTTACTTTCAAGAGAATATATAAGGCATTCAGGAAAATTGAATAGTAAAGTCAAACAAAATTGAGAGTGATTTTTTACTGTATTTGCTCAAATGCAAGTATTCATAGTAAGAATTTATGAGCACCAGAACATACAAACATGGTTTAGGTGTAGATCTACCCCTTAAGACTTTTGAATCCTTTGCCTATAACACTTCTGGAAGCCAGAGGCAATAATAAAATAATATAAAGCTGTTTGTTCATGGTGAAGGTAAGAGTGACATATGGTTGAAACTATTTAATTGCAAATATTTGGTATATAGACATTTTATTTAAATGCAGTGATAATTAAGCATGCACTCTTCTATTTCACAGTGTTCAATGTCCAGATATTAAAACTCTTTGGAAACATCAAAACATAAGACTCTTGATGGAGCTGCACACAATTTATGTGCTCTTAAGATTGCAATCCTATATTTATTTCCCCACCTTTGTACTTCAATATTCTCTTTCTTTTCTTCCCATCTGACACTAGTTGAAATATTTAGGGAAATACTATATCATTGAGATCTTTCTGGAAGAGCAGAAATGATAGGATGCATACAAGATATGCATCTGTGATGATTAAAGTTTTTCATTTCTAAAACCATGTGGGATTATGTGGAATTATGCATATATGTAGATGGGATGTGTGTGGGGGATAAAGAGGGGAAAAGAGAGGTAAGAGGGATGGAGAGCAAAGAGAGAGGCAAAGAGAGATTTCAGTGTATTACAAGATGGTAAGGGATTTGAAGAAGGTGATTAAGTTTCTAGGAGATTCTAGGCGAAGCCCTAGGTTTCATTGAACTAATTGTTTGAATCAACTCTGGCCACGATATTCTTTGCTTCATCCCAAAGCTATATGACAACTCCACATGTATATTTTAAGAGACACTGATGTTTGCACCAATATTGGGTAAAATATCTTAAAACAATCATAGGGATTTTCCCCATTTTTAAAAAGACTCTCCAGTATTTCTGAAGTTTTAATCTGTAATCTTAATGAGAAATTATCCAATGATCCCTTTTTTGTTATTAACTCACAGACTTGTCCTCATAACTTCAACCAAGTACAAAAGAATTATATTAATACCCTTTTAGTGGGTGGTTAAAGTCCTTCAACCCTTCTTGGAGCAGAACACAAATTCCACTGAAGGTGAAACCTTGCAGATATGAAGATGATGTTCTGTATTTATGATAATTTTCTTCTTTCCAGTGCATGTTCATAAGTTAGGACTGTTCTGTAAACTTGCTAGCCTTTTTAATTATGCAAACTTATTTTATTGTAGAATAAATAAGGGAAGTAGATTATCAGAGTTCTTTCTAATTACCAGTTAGAAAGTCTCAGAAAAAATGAGAATTTATTCTCTTTGTTTATTATTTATTCTCCAAGAATAAAGAAGTTCACAGAGTCTCTTCCTCCTCCTCCTCCACCTGATTTTTTACTCAGGGATCTGTCTAAGACATCAATCACATTGTTCTCCCACAGAGTTCAGTGAGAAAACACAAATACATTAAAGTCAACAGTCTTTTGTATGAAGGGAGATATTTAATTATTGGCAACAGATTATGTTTTCAACACAGGGACCCTCTGCTCTAGACACATAGCTTAAGATGTCTAAAATACTCTATGCCCTGCCCAGTGTCACTAGAAAATGAATAGCTCTCTAAAATGTTTCTGATAGAGTTTGTGGGAGTGAGTGAAAGCTTTTTACAAAATTAAAAGCAATGTGTTCCTCTATTTAGATGACTGAAATTAGATACCTCAGTATCCTGATTGCTAGTCTATCCAAATCTGGAACGTGACCAAAGATGCCATGGAGAAATACC